ACCTACGTCCAGTATGTTCACACTGGCATTATTAAGCTACTGTAATATGACATATTTGTTGTAATTTCCAGTGGCGGATCCAGGAATTCGAAATAGAAGGGTCCAGGGAGGGTACTTTCACAGATAGAAGGTGCGAAAATTTGTGATTATGGCACCTCTAGATTGCGGGAAATTTCACTCTTAAACTTAAATTTGAATATAATTTTCGTTATATCTCCATTAAAAAAAAAATTGAACAATTTATCCCCCGCCCTTGAATGCATCACAGATTTCAGAACAAAGTCGAAGTCGAGATTGCTTCCACGATCTCAATGAATTATTTATCATAAGGGTTATCCTTGATATGGGTTCCCCGACTACAACTTCACTTTTCTGTCTCTTATACACATCTAGATGTGTATAAGAGACAGATGATACTCCAACTGTGGCAGGTGGAAGTCGAAATAGAGGGGACCCAGGCAGGGTTTGCGCAAATAAAATGTCCACCCACCTAATCCGCACAACTTTTGGGGCTGAGGTAAGAAAAATTATGATTATGGAACCTCCAGATGGCCGGAAATGGCACTCTCAGATTAAAAGTTGAATACAATTTTGTCTGTTTTCTCCAATTTTTTAAAAATAATTTTGAAAAAATTAGGAGGTTCAAGGCCCGTGCTGACAATATAACACTTGAAATAGCCTATCATTTTGTATCACAAATTCCTAATATCAAGCGAAAGATATTTTTATTCGAAAGATTTTTTTACTCAATACAGTTGTTACAACCTATAACACATTAACTACAGCGTAAATTCTGTAGTTAACCTTCAGAGAACTTTATTTTTTAAAATGGCCTAATTAATTATCTTTAGATGTGTATAAGAGACAGGTTGTATTCCTCTAGTTTGAAGGTTTACTGTAAGCCAATCAGTTACACTTACTATACATCTTCGTGGTTAGCATAAAGGGAACTAGAGCGTCGCTCCATTAAGAGTGCCTACCTTCCCCTTTATTCCTAAGTACAGAATTCACGAAGGCAAGCGATTTTTTCTTCATGCTTGAGGGTGGGATTCAAGGAAACATTACAGACGCGCGTATACAGACATCAATCAACATTTGGTTACTCAACTCAAAAAGGGAACTTGTAATGCTCGTTAGAAAATGAAAAAAAAATTTATAATTATAATAATGATAATAACAAATAAACAAGTTGTCTAACGTACGCACCAAATAATAATAATAATAATAATAACGATAACAATAATAATATTAATAATAATAATAATAATGATAATAATAATAATAATAATAATAATAATAATAATAATAATAATAATGACATTTTAGCGTTCGTAAAATGTTTGTCACTGGTGCTGGGAACAGTCATAAAAAGTGGGGGAGGCCCCGCAGCAGAAAAAGTGGGGGGAGTCCCCCAGCATAAAAAGTGGGTGCCCCCCACACCCGCTTCCGCCGCCGTTGATACCATATATAAGCCTATGACCTTTTAAAAAATATCTACATGTCGTTTTCTGTAACGTAAATGAGCACTAGCAGTCTGCTTATATAAAAGTTAAATGTTTTTCTTGATTTATGAGAGAAGATAATTTTGTTGACTTTGCATGGTTATTGTGAATAAACATTCTCCTTTAGCATAAAATTCCATATTAGGCCTATATATTAGTTTATATTTTTATTAATGAAATTTACAAAAACCTTAATTAAAAGCATTGATAGACCAACTACTATTTGAAAAGACAATAACATTGTCGAACCCAGTAGACAATAACATTTCATTCATTTCAAGCATTTTTCATAAATCCTATAATAGTTTATTTATTACTAAAATTTAGGTCTTCATTATATACTTATTTTATGAAAAATTAGAAAATTTTAATTTGCATAGCAACGGTTGCTATGGTGATGACCTTGTATTTTATTACACTATTACCCCGGTATTCTTAAAACGAACTTTAGTCGTAGTTCGAGCTAAAACTTTAAAATTACGTCATTTCGTATTCTTAAAACGAACTTCGACTAGCACTACGACGAAATGACGTGAACCTCGACTAAATCTAGAATGATACCTCCGCAGGCCGATTTTTTTAGTCAGCCTAGGGTCAGGCTAAATCGCCGACTTGAAATATTTACCCCACTAAAAACGTGTTTTTTGTAACTCACGATAAAGTGAAACGAATAAAAACGATTATATACGCAGGTTTGATATATCTTCGGTGTGTTAAACAAAAGAGACACCAAGTTTAGCTTCTGGAAGGAGAAATTAACATGTTTTGCTGGCCACATGCGATAGTTCCTGATTTGTACGAAATCCCCTCGCGTTGCGATCACGTAGCTTTACAACAACAACAACAAAGATGGCGCCGCCCTCGCTCGGGCTCAACTATAATAGTTCTCCAAAGAAAGCAAATTTTCAGTGTCTGTTCAAATTCTCTATTGTAATATTTTAACAACTAATATAGTTATTATTATAGAAAATTAATTAAGGGAATGATGGTCTATTATGAATTATGAGGAAATACATTTTTAAACCACAGACGGCAGCTTAATATTCATCCGCGTTACCGGATCTCTAAAATTTCGTCTGCTATAAAAGTTAGCCCTTTTCATTGGTTAGTTTGATAGTCGTGGCTTGCCAGTCGTCT